AAAAAAAAAAAAAAAAGGATGAACTTGCTTATATTCTGTTAAGAATTAGTGTAATCATCTCTTTGTTAAGTTCCTGATTGTGACATAAGTTTGGTTGAAAATCCTTTGGTAATGATTGAATTTTCATAGTCTATATTCTCAGTTGAATGGCACTGGATTTTGATTTGCTTTTACAAATCGAATTTGGAGTCAATTTATAAAATTCTATAATCTGGTATTAAGATGGGCGAAAAATTGGCAGTCTTTCATTTGTGTCGTTCCTAACAATTTTGTAGCTTCTAATACTTCAAGCATCTATTTGTTTTGACTTGTATTGAGTATTCAAATTGACATAGATGGCCAACCTACCAGATACAGATGTAGAAGCTTTGACTAATTTTATTAGTGTTTGGTTTTTCTAATACACTGCTCTCCAGTTTGTGTAAGAGAAAGTGATCTTCTTGTGTTGATCATTGATACTTAGCCCTGTCTTATTTCGTTTTAATTCATTGTACCTTTTTTAATACTTTGGTTGCTAAAAGAGATAGTTTTGGTAATTTATTGTACAGTCAGATTGATGATTTAGGTTTCTAAATATTTGGGAGAAAGTCAATGATAATGCTTACTCTAGCTAAAAATGATGACCGGAATCTAGAAACACCAGTATGTAACATCTCATCCTCAACACCCTACATGCAGCCTTGGTGGCGGGTTTTTGGAAACAGTAGCATGCCTTCTTCAGGGGAACAGGCCAATGGTGATGGTGCTTCTAAAGGAAATAAAACCAATCTGGCTCTGCAATCTGGTAGTTTACTTTTCTACGCTTCACCTCACCTTATGTCATGCCATTTGATTTATCATATAAACTTTGGTACCAAGAGAAATTTAGATAGTTTAATGAGTTTACAACTCTCCAAAACTCTCCAAGTCAAGAATCTTCTCCTTTGTGATCTTTACTTGTTCTTCTTGAGTATATAAATTAGATTTATACTTTATAAACAGTGTTTTCCTTTTGTCTTGTAATTTGACGGAGTTGGAAATTCCAGCATCGCCATTTCTTGCACATAATCATTTTTTATTGTCTCACCTATTTTAGGACTGTAGTCTAAAATATATAGTTAGATGATGAAAGTACGAAATATGTGCTTAACTAATCCGTGACCGTCAAACATAGTCATCTTGAAGTTGTTTGTAGTTGCGTATGGATCTCTTCACTTGTCAAAGAACAACATTAATATTTCCTGTCTTTTCATAGTTTCAAGGTTATGTTAATGGTACAGAACTTGGTGGAAAACTTTTGGTATTTGATTTATTGGACTTCAAAGTCTAGCACAAACAACCCAGTTTGCATTAGCTGCTGCAGATTAGAAAATCTTGGTCTTACCATCTCTTTACCAACCCAAATGTGGACTGCTTAATGACGTACTGCTCAAACTGCAAGGAAGAAGTTGAAAGAATGGAGTTAGGAAATATCAAAGATGATATTTCTGTTATAGATTCAAATGTGAAATTCAACTTCTAGAACTTTAATCCTGAACCACTTGATGCAAAATTATATACTAACTCCTTTTAATGTTTAAATGAGGATTGTTTTGTTTATGGAAAGCAAACCTATGGCACTGATCAATATTATACAAAAAAATGTATGTATTTTAAGAAAATATCTCATTTAAAATTCTGAAAATGAAGCAAGGTTCTTTCAGTTGAGATGACATTGAAAAACTTCTAGGTGATCAATGCTCTTCTCTTGCAAATGCAAAAGGTTCTTCGTGGAAAAAAATGTAGCAATTTAGTTTCACTTCCAAAAATTTGTCACGATCATCTTATGATATGATCTGAAAATTGTGACATGTAAATGCTAGAGTATGATGATTTATTTTCCATGAATAAAGGATCAAAGATCCACATTGCGTCCAATACGAAAAGTTATCAATTGATAGTTTTGCTTTTCCATTTTATCTGATAGTCTGTATAACAGTCAAATTTGAAGGGAGGCCATCTTTTTGGGGGAGGGGAAAGGCAGGGGTGGTCGATATAAGCAAATTTTGAGCTGAAAATATATTTCTGTATTTAGTAACATCTCATCAAGTCACATGCTGTGATGAAATACCCAAGTTTAGGTACTTAGCTACCGTTAACATTATGACAATATCAGCATAGTTGATGCCCTTTAACATGCTGGTATTTCATAATTCAATATTTTTTTTTGAAACTATTTGCTTTTAGAAGAGTCCAAGCATGGTTCAGTCAATTGCAATTTACTGATTTCATCTTTATGCCAATTATGTCAATTATGATGTTTGTTTGAATACATATTTATTTTGAGGCACAAGGGGTTGGGCGGGAATTGATGCTGAGCATCACTGAACATGGGGTGAGCCTATTGTGTAAGGGGGTTAACCTCGAGTGAATAGTGCTTGGGTGGATTCTCTAGCCTGAGTCTAATCCTAGGCGATGTACCATTTGATTGCGTCTCTCTATCAGCTACAGCTTTTGGGAAGAGTGGTATCTTCCCACATTAGTTGGTATCAAAGTTGAAGGTAGAGTGTTCGATTCTCCAAGGAGGGGAAATAATGCCGTTTATCACTAATATTGTGTTTGACACCAATTTTTGGTGTATTATAAATTTTGGAATAGTGATTGATGGAAGAATTCGGGGTTGAAAAGTAATGAAAAGTTTTAAATTTGTGTGTGATATTATTTTATTTGGAGAATGTCTAGTTATAATTATGAAAGAGAATTTTTTTTTAAAAAAAATAATGGGTGCCAAACACAATCTAAATATAGGGTGGCCCTATTGTACAAGGGGCTTGGTTCCCAAACAATTAGTGCTTGCGGCGGATTCTTGGGTCCGATCATAGGTGATTTAGGGTTTCATTGTGCCTCATCTATCAACTATAGCTTTTGGAAAAAGTGGTTGCATCTCCGTACATTAGGAATGAACAATAAGTGTGGCAAGGGACCATGGGAATCACAATGCTTTGTCTACTTTTATACTTCCTCAAGTTGTGACAATCAGATTTTGACTAGGACGGGAAAAGGCTTAAGGAAGTGTTGTATGTCCTATTAGCCCAACCATATGGCCTTCTAATATAGATAATGCCTTCTCCCTTTTATTCTTTGATATTTAATTTGAATTGTTATATTTCCCTCAAATACGAGAAGAAAAATAGAGAACCAGAACACTGAAAAGCTGATAGCCTATTCTGCCCAGTTCTCATTGATCTTGGATCTATAGAAGCTATATAGAGTCACTTGTTCCATGCTGAACAAGCTAATGCTTGGAACTGAGGCTAAAACTATGAAAGCAGGGTTTGATTATTATGTTACATAGCTTTCCTAGTTTATCTTGAGCTGTCTATTTTCTTTTAAATGCTCGAGTAGAAAGATCAGATATTGAGTGGGGACTGTGGATAATAGATGAATTTAACGACTTCATGATTATGAAAATTGATCCGTGATTCCGTGGAGATCAAAATCATAGCAAGTAGAATGACATACAGAATTTGAACAATTATTTAAATACCACATATCCGATCTGACCAATGGACGAATATGTCAGCATACATTTCAGGTTTGTTTGAGAAATATTTCCCAATATCAGATTATGCAGGATTATACATAAAAGACCCATTTTTGGTTCTCTCATTAGCTGTATGTCTCTTATGTCCAAGAGGTCTTCTTCCATTAGAAGGTTTTTTCAGGAAACTATTTAATGCGGTATATGGTCTTCATACACTAGTTGCATTAATTTAAACATACAAACACGTATCTTTTTTATTGTGTTGAAAATTTAGAATTTCTTAAAGTCATTTATTTCTCTTTTGAAGTGCCTTTTCTCACTAGTAATCGTTGAACGCTTGAAATGTTTTATAAGTGCTGTAAAAGTAATATTTAAATATGTATGAATGTTAATTAATTTAAAATTAATGCCAGAGAATATATATATGACAATGAATGTTAAATCATTTATTTAATTTCAAATTAAGTAAAATTGGATGTTGATTAGCATACATGGATGTGAATAATGAAATGCATTCTTGAATGTGAAATTCTAATTAACTTATAATTAGAATTAATAATACTAAATACATAAATGAAGATGAATATTAATTAAATGAATGAATGTAAATGTTAATTAATTGAGAATTAATAATAGAGAATTCATACATTAATCAAAGCACATAGGTGAAATGAATATGTCAAATATACATGTACATTGATGGTAACTAAATGGTTAAATAAATTAAATACGTATTGAAAAACATAAAGTAATTTATTATTGAAATAATTGAATTATAGTAGGGTTAGAATCGTCTAAAAAATTATTCTAACTTGATGTGATATTTAATATATTATAGATAATATTTGCATCTATTTTTTCTTGTTTTGTCTCATAGTTGAGGGGAAAATTGATGAGGTTTTCTTATTAAATGCTAAAAATATGTTACTTTGATTGAAACTCAAAAGAAGGTTACAGTGAAATGTTTGTTTGTCTAATCTGATTGTAGTGAAGCTGTACTGTCAATAAAAGGGAAAGTTGGAGCAGGATGTATTTGCTACATTTCTTTTGGCCCTATCAGAATAGTGGCATTCTTGATCAAATTATGAAGCTCAATATTTTTTGAAGAGAATAAATTTAATACATGGGTGCATATTTCCCTTGCAATTGTTTTAATAAGGTCATCTTTCTGATGAGGCTCCTTGTATTTCAATGCTAATTGACTTCTTTGTTGTCTTGCTGACAAAACAAAATTGAATTGTCAGCAGTATTTTGAACTTCTACATAGTCGTTAATTGTGAACTGCCTTTATCACTTGTTCTCCATGCCAGTGAAAATAACCCTTGTTGTTGTAGGACATAAGATGAAAAAATAGATCAGGATACTTTCTGACGTCTTAAGAGTTTCAGTGTGCGATGCTGCATATTTATTGTATGGTGACCTATCAAAAGGAAGAAATTTTATTTTATGTGGAGTAAATTTGCCATGTGGCTTTATTATTTATCAGCAATCTGATATAGATTCGCCATTGACCCATTGTATTCGAAATGTGCATGGGTGTTGTTTTGTTTTTGGGGGCGCGGGTGAAGGTGTTTTTGTTTGAAAATATGCATAACTAGTAACTGTATATTCAGTTTTCAAAATTTATTTCTTTACATGTCTGTAGACCAACACGGGCATATCACACGATACACATTTATAGATGCACGTATATTTTGTAGTTTGTAACTCAAAATGGTGGTGATGGATGTGCATTTTCAGGACTAAATGGAACTAATGGTCAAAAGGAGCAGCATCCTGATACCAATTCTCCATTGGAACTTGTTGGCCATTCAATTGTAAGATTCCTCCTCCCTCCCCATCCCCCACCAATCCCAAAAATAGCTGTGAGCTATGGGAGTACTTTATGAATGCATTGTTTTAGTACTGTGCTAACATTTTAGTTTACTAAATTCAATTTTGAAGTAGATCCTTCTTTTTATATGATGATAACAATTGTCCTTTTTTCCTTTTCTAATGTGAGGTGCGCGGGTAGTAAACTGAAAGTGATATATTGATTTATTTACTTATGTAAAAATCCTAAGATATGTTGGGATCTCATCTGAGCTTTGTTTGCAGATGTTGACGTCAAATCCATATACAGATCCACCATATGGGGGAGTAATGTCTTATGGGGCAATGGTAATAACAGAACTTTGTCTTCCCTGATTACTTCCATTCCCAGCTCCCGTGTTCAGTTTGTGGGTATCTGTTGTGTGAATGCAAGCATCTACATCTTATTGAAGCAACTACCTTTCTTCTCCTGAGTGCCACATGCCTGAATTTGATTGTAATCATTTATTGTTTCTTTTTCAAAAGAGTCATAATTTTTCTCTTTGTTTGAATTTGTGTATTAACATGCCCTTTTCTTTTTCTTTTATGGCGGTCATAAAATGTTGATACAACAATTCCTAAGTTTGACATGCATCTACATTTAATAATTGAGGCCACATCTTTTCCTCGTCTTCTCCAAGGGATGTCGTTCTTTGAGTTTGCAGACATTTGAAAATCAATATTGACTAACCACTACTTCACAGAACCCTTGTTCGCCATGTCCTCTCGTGGAAGCAAGAAATCACCTTCCTTGAAGAATGCTTTCATATTGTTAGATGTTTTTACAATCTACACATAATAAGAGAGTTTAAATTCTTATGGGATATTGCAACTGTAGTTCCCCAGCCTTTAAACAAGTGAGCTCTTGGGTCCGCAACCAATTTTTTTGTGGCATTTCAATTCATAACCTTTTATTTTTATTGCATTAATAGCATTTGGATCCATTGGTGTGGAGGGTTGGGGACCCAATGCGACAAAAAGTATGTTGCAGACACAAGTACTCACTTGCATGGTTTGAGGGACCTCTGGTGCTAATTTCCCAATTTCTTTCAACTATAAATTGAAGCAGCATTTGATACCCATGCATGAGCTGTTCATGAAACAACTTTATTATAATTAATGCTTCTTTATTGTACTAATTTAAATTATGAAAATTAAAAGCGGGAAAAGAGAAGGAACTCTTACTTCTGTTTGAACTCTCACAAATCTTTTGTGGTGGTGCCAGGGACATCCACACTTACTTGGATATCATCCAGGAAGAATGCCTCTGCCTCTAGAAATGGAAGAAGAACCTGTCTTTGTGAATGCAAAACAGTATCATGGTATCTTAAGGCGAAGACAAATTAGAGCAAAAGCAGAACTGGAAAAGAAAGCGGTAAAAATCAGGAAGGTAATAAAATGCCTCTTCCTCTCTGAATGAAAAGCCCACATTTCCAATTTATTTGTACAAGTGAAGGTCTTCTTTCCAATTTACTTGATACAGTGACGTGTAAGCATATATGAGCAATTCTTTCGTTATTCCTCGAGTGTATTCAGATCTTATGAGGAATGACTGCTTGTCAATGTCTAAATGTGCAAAGATGATGATGTTAATAGGTTTTAAGTCATCTGAAAATTAGCCATTTACTTCGGTGGAATAGATGGAAGGATATTTTACGAGGCTGATGCTCTCCGGAAATTTTTTTGTGGAAATAAACCTGGTCATTTGGTGGCTTGGAAGTTCGTAGTGAGCTACATAATTTTTTTTTTTTGCCCCTGATCTTGCCAAGCATGAAATTTTGGATTTTAAATGCTTAATCATCTCCAGCTTTGCCTGATAATTTGGGAGACATTGATCCATAAAATGCTGAATGTACAAGTACAATATCCTTTGATAGATCCAGAAAATGTATTAAGGGTCACATTCAAGGAGAAAGGAGAGAGATTGGGATAGTCTCTCTCTCTCTCTCTCTCTCACACGCGCGCGCGCGCGCATATCTCCATGATATCTTCCTCACTTTCGAAGACACAAGTACCAATTTAAGAAAGCTGAATTGTCTTCCGCAATCTTGTGGCTAGTTTCTATCAAGCTCTTGAATTTTTTTTCTTTGTTACTCTCATCTGGACATTCCTTTTAAAATGCTTTGCTTATATGGTGGTTTTCCATACATTAGTCTAAATACGTTGCATTCCTTTTTAACTTATATTCATGTGGTTATGGATACACCTGTCTCCCTATATCTGGCTTTCTATAATTTCTTATTGGTTTCTTAGGCATTATTTTCTTCTGGACATCACTCTGATTTTTAGCTTAGAAAGTCCTCTTTTATTCGGTTCTGATGGATGCAGCCATATCTTCACGAATCTCGGCACCAGCATGCTATGAAAAGAGCAAGGGGCTCAGGTGGCCGTTTCCTCAACAAAAAAGCGCTCAACGAACAGGAGAAAAATTCCACTGTCACGCAGCAGCCAAAATTTGACGCAATTGCTCCAACACCAACTGGTAACTCAACTGGTCCCACTATGGTTTCAGACATGCACAAAGAGCAATATCTCTCAATTGGAAACAGCAATGAATATGGACTGTCATTTGTCTCGGAGCGAACGGGGAAGAGGACGTTTTGGTCAGGACAATTGGTGCTCCCTGGTGGAACTGTCTTCACAGAGGGCTGCCCCCAGCAAATGAGAAGCTGACCCTTTATAATGGCAGATGGGTATTTCCAGTATTGCTTCACCGTGGAGATTGCTGCACGTGCTCTATATAGGGTTCGAAGATGTCCAGGGCACAGGCAAAGGCTGGTTTGTGACTCATCTGAAGTACTGTATTGGGGAAACTTCCTTGCGGTTTTGCTATTGTCAGGCAATTCATTCTTGGCTTGGTTACTTATATGATCCGATAGTAGAATTTCTAGTGGAACAAATCACTGTAACTTCACCTGTGTGTATCCGTGCGTTTGGGAATCTAAGAAATGAAGATGTACTACTTCACCAAATGTGCTTTTGTGCCATGAGTTAGTTTAACGGTTCATTTTTTTAGAAGGCCAAAAGAAAATATTGCATTAATTAATGTCGCCAAGAAGCGTGGACGAAAGATAAAAAGGCAAACGATGGCTAGCGTCTATTTGATCTCCGGCAGCCTGCATCTCAACCCAGGGGTGCATGTTTGTTTCTTGTTTACTCCTTTATCCATAACAAATTTTTACCCTGCCTCCTTTCGTTGAAATCTGTTCTTTAAACCTCTCTTCTCAAAAATCCTACTACTAATGATAAGTGTGTTTTGCGCACT